TATATATATATATATATATATATATATATATATATATACATACACATACATACATACATACATATTAGTGCTGTCAATTGATTACAAAAAATTCACTAATTAAATCACACTTTTTTTGAAAATCACTATTAGTATTTCCTATAATATTAATAATATTATGAGTTATATTTTATTTTTGGCTAGAATAAAAGCAGTTTTTAATTTTTAAAAAAATATTTTAAGGTCTAAATTATTAGCTCCCTTACACAATAGTTTTTCCCCGATTGTCTACAGAACAAACCATAGTTATCAATGGCTGCATCCGAAATCACATACTTTCATGAAGTAGTTAAAACAGTACTATGTCCAAATTCATAGAAGTATGCTAGAAGTGGCCTACTATTTATGGTGAGATTCTGAAGTGCGCATCCGATAGATGCTACGCTATCCATTGAGGCCACGTGAGAGAATTCATGAATAAGAGTGAGGCGATACAACTGACACAGGTGATAATGAGAAATGGTGGATGTACAGTAGTACGTCCAGAACACAGAGTTCTATTCTAGGCCTGGGACGATAACCGGTTTCAAATTTTATCGTAGTTTCAAAAACTCAAGGTTTAAATACCGCTAAAATGTTCTGTTATACCGTTCCCAAGGTATATGCAAGTTTTTTATGTGTTGTTTATGTGTTTGAAACTAATGAAAAGAGAAGAAGTCAATAACTTATTTTAATTATTTAGCCTGGCATGTTTACTATAGGTGAATTGGGAAAGCTAAATTGTCCGTAGTGTCTGTGTGTGAATGAGAGTGTATAAGTGTTTCCCAGTGATGGGTTGCAGAAGGGCATCCACTGGATAAGTTGGCGATTTATTTCGCTGTGGCGACCACAGATTAAAGAAGAGACTAAGCCGAAAAGAAAATGAACGAATGTTTACTGTTATGAAATATTATAAATGTTTCTTAAAATAAAATACATAGCTTTCAATGGGTAACAAAGTTTTTTGTTTGTTTGTTTTACCCAGGCATT